TAGCGTGATTTCGTTCTAGTTGTTTGCATCTTGCATTTTCGAAGGCGGAAGTGGTGTAGTGACAAGTGGCGCGCTTACCACGCGAGCGGTCCGGGGATCAAATCCTGGGTCGTGAGTCGCCCGGGCCAACCAAGCCTTCCATCCCTCCGGGGTCGGTTAATTGGTACCAGACTTGTCTGGGAGGATAAAAACACTGACATCGGCTGGCCCCCGCAAGTCATTGTATAGGCCACATCGCATTCAAACGCCACTACGAATGTACAAATGGAAGTAGAATGCGTGCCGCATCCCAAAAAGGGATTGATCAACGGCAAATGCTTTATCCTTTTTATCCTTTATTGTATACTCCACCTCATAATAAAACGGGCTTGCTATATCAAACGCCATGACTTGTCGTGTTGTGTGTGTTGTGGTGTCACGCCAAGTCATAGCAAGCTCTTTTGAAATAATGAAGCCTTGCCCACAGCATGATGTCAGATGAGGATCAGCTGGACAAATTGTGGTTGGGGATGACCATAACAGCTGATAGGGGCTAGTGACTATCAACGACATGATTTGCAGCATGGTCGATCCGCTTCAGTTTAGCAGAGGTTCCCAATCCTTGCGAATTTTTTCTGTCCGGTTCATCCTCGTTTTTCATTGTACTCCTCAGAAACATGTTGATAAAAGAGTATTAGACGTAAATACAAATTTATTCTGGCCAAAAAAGTTTTTAATGGAACAACCATTTCAAAAATACCTATGATGTTTACTACAGCGCTAGCAAGGGAAATTGCTTTTTTAACTGCCATTACACTTTCTTGTGATCGTAATTTCAATAAAAATATATCCCCGGCTAAGCTTCCGCGTTAAACGTCTCCAAACTTCCCCTGTGCCATTTGTATTGCATTTTGTCATTCAAAATTCACGGATATGAGGTGGAGTTGGCGGCGCCGCAAAACACGCATGCCCCCCGCGGCCAGAAAAACTCAAAACGCGCGCTGTCGTCAATGTGTTAAAAATCGTTCTATAAAAAAGGAACGTTATCGGTGGAGCTTCTCGTACACAATCACGTCGAAAAATTTTCACACTCACCTAGTTACTGTTCGTCCTTTTCCACCGGCTGCCATAGCTGAAGTTGCAACCATATACAGAAGTCCCATGAGAACAGTAAGAATCATGAGGTTCACTATGAGGATAATGGTGTTTTTGTCGAAATGCTGCTCCGCGGCTTCAACGATCGACTGCTTTCGGGAGCTGCTGGGCGGCATTGTTCTGCAATTAAATCTAATTAACTAATCAAAACTATTTACTAAATTAAGTTCACAAGAGCACACAATTTTCTTCAAACGGCGAGGAAATTTTCCAAAAAAATTCAAAGTCGGGAGGTGAACGTGCTGCGGTTCTTAAACACATGTTTTCAAAGTCAATGACTGCTCTGATGATATAGGTTTTGCTGGAAAAACGAGTCAGACCCTTATGAAATGCCAGATGTTGTTAGGAGAAACCACAAAATGTTCCCTGGAATTTCTAGGAAACGCTACTGTTCCGTTGGGAAACTGACATTGAACACTGACCAGGGAAGGCATTCAACTTCCCATGGAACTTTGAATTGAGACCCAGATATATCGATAGAGCTTCAAACGCTGATTACAAATATGGAAACTAAAACTGCAAAATGAACCTGCCAAGGAAGTTGTGAGCAGTCAAAGTTGGCTGAAAGTGAAGCTTTACATATGAGCCATGCTAGATTCCGAACTTTTGGAGTCGCCGTGAAGTAGCGGTAGTGCTCTCGCTCTCCAGTCTGGAAGTCGTACGTTCCCTCGCCGTTGAAGTACAGCTTTCGAGAGCACTGGCCTTACTTCATGGTGACTTTAAGTGCCCGGATTGCACCAAGGTTCATATAGAACGCTTCATTTCTAATCAGCTTTGATGCTCACAACTCATTTGGAAGTCCATTTTGCAGTATTAGTTTTTATATTTGTAGTCAATGTTCAAGCCCTACGGCATATATACAGGGGGGGGGGCAAAAAAAAGAGTCACTTTGCCTATGGCGCATATCATCAAACTTTTCGTCGCAAAGGATGCCGCTGTTATTGGGAGTTATACGGCAAATTATTCCTTAGATGTCCCCCCATAAGCAGAATCAGGCCCACCTTCGCTGCGTTCACCGTCTCCAGAATATGACGTCATCTGTCATCACCGTCGAGCTTAAGGAGGCCTACAATAATCGCTCCATTCTGAAGCTGCTACATAAATTCTTCAATCGGATAACTGGTGAATGACTTCTTAGAGACACTAGCTCTGACTATGCAAAATGGCTTTTGACCAGCGTTTCAGAGACGTCGTAATCATCTATGGTTTCTCGACGACCCCGTTGAGCTCGTACCGCGAACCATGTTTCCGTGGGAAAATCTTCTGGTGTCGTCGGTTTAGAAGGCCACTATGCAATGTTTTTGATAGAATAGAATGTGCTCTTCAATATGCAATTGAGCTCATTCGGTTTGGTTTTGGCAAAGTGTAATTAATTCTGTTTTGAATGTGAGTAGGAGTGACTCTTTTTTTTTTGGTATATGGGACTTGATTCAAATATCTATGGGATGCTGGATGCCTTTCCTGGTGATTAAGAACGATAAATTCTCTACTGAAGAATAAGTAAAGTTCCCGCTGATTTATTATCGAATTGTTGAAATACGGAAGAAGTGGAAACAAAGCAGAGAAGAGAGCTGAGCTTACTTGGGAAAAATAGAGGAAGCCTCAGGCGCGGAAGACGCTGTTCCAACACCTGTTTGGCCCCTCGTTTTTCCATTCCTTTTTACAACCACGAAAAAGCTCATTGAGTAACGCTCATAGAAAACGTCACATGCTAATGTTCCAGTAGACTAGGCTACATAATAGCAACACCCAATAAAAATGACATCTCACCCATATAAGAATGATAATCACACAACGCGACTGGAGTGAGCGCGTGACGGATCAAGAGCTAACTGGATAGACTGGAAAAGACTCTGTCAAAAGAAGTCGAGGATCGAATTTTTTATGGCATGCTCCTCCAAGTGCAAAAAAGCTGTGACCCATTTTCCTCATAAAAGTTTCAAAATACTCATGCGCTTCAAACTCTGTACAAGAATTGCGTCTGACGAACAACTTTTCCACGTCCTTGGAAAGATGACGAATGTACACTTGGCAGGGAAATGATTCGGAGCAAAAGATGGCGTGAAAGAGCGCCTGGGCCTGATGGGTGTTCTCGAACCTCGAAGCACAACCTTGCATCCAATCTAGTATGAGTAAACGAAGTGATAAACAATCATTGTTGCCAGAAAAAACTTCCTCCCTTGCCCGCAGCAGTTCCTACCCTCGGGGAGGCTCGTTGCAACAATACCACAGAATTACAAAGTCGTTTGATCAATAGGTTAAAAAGTGAGCATGAAACCTTCGGCTAAAGAATGCCATTGATGAAATCCGCCTAACCATGGGTTTTCCAAATCAAGAAAGAAGAGATCGATAAAGGCATTGGAAACGATACGTCGATCTTGACTCATAATCGTTATCGAGGGCTGTCGAGCAGGCTTTGCGGAAGCAGAGCTGGCACGAAGACAGCTGCTTGCTCTCCACCCTTCTCAATCCACGAGTCATGCCGTGAGATCCCCTCATGTTTCTTTGCCGAAAGAAAGAACTCGGGCACATTTTGCTTGTCCGTTTGTCTCGTCGACAAACCCCATCAGAGAGCGACTGGTCCCAGAGCTCAAACTTCTAGAAACAAGCGAATTTTCAGTGGTGAACTGAGAAAAGATCGTCATAATAGGCAATAGGATAGGCAAAGCTGCAACTGTAGAATGTGGGCAGCAGTAGGAGAATTTTCCTTTCGTTAATCAGAAGCTTTCTTCACAAGACTGGTAGGATTTCCATTAAGCAAGAATTTTTTTATCCCAATCGCTCGACCTAACAAAATAATGGGACCTGAATGGGTTCCCAAGCCCAACGTATCCCTCCAACCGCACATTCGTATCTCAAGCACGAACGAATCTCATCATTCCTGTCCTTCTGAAGACACACCTCTTTAGACCAGCCACAAATGTATCACTCCCAGCGAGCACTATTTGCAAACCGTCACATTTTTATAATAGTGAGGATAAGAGGGGTGCCTCAAGTTTGCATAGTATCCCTCATCATCACATCGCATGGCGCTGAGAGGTATCACAGATTGAGTCCATGAACTTCACCAACAATAAACCTATCCGAGCGTTTTCGTCGCTCTCTTCCGGTGTCCTCTCCGGTATTTCGGCTGCCAAAGGGAAGGCGTTTAGGTGCACTGTATGTGTGAGTTCTCAGCTCGTCTGGTTTGTTCTACCCTTGCTGCGTGCCCGCCGGTTTCTTGTAAATAAGTGTTTAATGCACAATCGATCATGATTGCACATCGTCTGTTCACTTCGTTTGCCGAAGGCTTCCAGCGAAATACTGCCTCTGAACTCATTCCACTTCATTTTCTTCGTCGTCCCTTATTTTACAGCAGTGTTCAAGAAAAACTAATAAGTTACCTCGTTAGGCGACATGTGCACCATTGCGCTCACTCTCTGCAGTGACACGGACCTATGACTTTTTCTGTTTGAAATCCCTTACGAGGGTAAGCAAAATCATCAGTCACCAACACACTATAAGGCATTTTTTAGAAGGTGCTGACAAAAACATATGTAGCGAAATCGATACCCAGATTTCAGCTGAAAGCTGCATGTGGACTTTAAAATAAAAATCGATCCAACAAGCAGCCACCGTTTTCGTTTTTTGATGCTGTTACAACGGATATGGGTCTGGCCTGGATTGGACCAAATTCCTTCCCGTTCCCTCTTCATTAGATTTCGAGTTGTTAAGTCACTATTCCTTTAACAATCACCTATGTTATATCCGTGAAGCCAGAATCAAAACAGATGTCGCCTGATATGAAAGGATTAAAGGACGAATTCACGATCAGAGGGAAAATCGAATTAGGAAGAATTCACCTGGTTGAGGGACCCGCGGAGCTCCTAAGTGTGCGAACTGAAGCACAATTTGCACAGGAGGAGTTGACCTCGTTGACCTATTAAGGTTTAATCCCGCCGCGGCTGGTCAGTGCACGCCCACCGATCATCTGATCACTCGCCGCAGGTCTATACGTGGTGAGTGATTAGATAGGTGAGAGAGCGTAGCGTTGAAGAGGGCACAGCGATGATAGTCGCATCAATGCTCAAATCAACGGGCAAGGAAGGGGTCCCATTTCTCGGGTTCTGGGCCGTTTCTCATGGTTTTTCCTTCTTTAGTGTACCACTCACCATCGCTAACTTAATTTGAAATGGGTTGCCTTTCCAGCGTGAATTCGTCCTTTAAGTAAACAAGACGCCCTCCCAAAAAAGGTTCCATGATTTCGAATTTCAAGAAAGTGCATGGTGCATTCAGGGAGCTGTCCTTTGGAAATCAAACATTTGCTTTCCAAGGAAATGGCGTGTTCCCCAAGAGGCCCGTCGCGTGGGAGGAAGAGACGCAGACGCGGCAAAGGACGAGTCGCAGCGCGTGCTGTGCGATATGAGACGTAGTATGGTACACTCTATTTAACCTGACGCCTAACCGCTACAGTATGCGCTGCGACTCGTCCTTTGCCCGCGTCTGCGTCTCTTCCCGGCCGCGCGGTGGGCCTTTTGGGGGACACCCGACCGGGGGCGCAGCCCTCTATTCGGAATTTCGCTTTTTTTTTTATCAAAGCGCGCACTTAAAACTAGATTCTATAAAACATCTACAATGTTTTTAGAATTATTGACTATGCCAATAGAAGATTTGAGCCATTCAATACTGAACAAAAAAAGAAAGTCAACAAAGATGTAGATTGCATACTCCTTGATTGCTCTGAAGTTTTTGACAGAATTCCGACTGGAGATAGCAGTTGAAATAAAATTAATTAATCCGTCACCTAGGAAGCGGAAATAGTCCAACTATCAAAAGCGGTTTAGCACTTCAGACGCCCTCGAGGGTGAGAAAAAGGGGCCTGAATCGTCTTTATCCAAAAGCCCGTCCCCTCCGAGAGCTCACTGTTTGCTGATAAAAGTAATAAAGATGAAAGAGCTTCATCCTAATGAGGCAAAACTTCAACTTCCATCGGATCAACGTCATGCATCCGACGAGCATCATTAATCACACTTGGGCGCTATCCCAAGATACTGGAGCATTGTCGCAGTAATGCAGTTAAACGGGGAAACAAACCCTTTTGAAACTGGGCTGAGCTTCAGACGTTGGAGGATAGGATAGGGTCGAGGGTGCAAAAACAGTTTTAATTTACCGCGATGTCCCTGACCACTCCTAGGCTTAGTCCTAGAAGATGCTCCTGTATCTTGTGATTGCGCCACGCAGTTGCTTTCAAATGCGTGTTTTTCCTATACGTTGCTTTTGAGAAGTGGCGAGTTTCTTCGGCGAGGAGAATTTTTAGTTTGGTTACAGAACATGCTGCTCACTGGGTGGCGAGGGATCCACGAACGAGCAAACGTAGGGCCTGAACAACACTCACGGGCCAAGCCTGGATAGCGAAATACGAAGCTCTCCACCACTTGTGTCTTCTTCTGTGATTATTTTACACGATTGATCTGGTAGGCCAAAATGGCCGCTTGAAATGAAACGCGAATCATCTGATTCGTCTCCAGACATCAAATTCAAATCTATCTCAACTATTTGCTAAACGACGCTGCCGAACAAAATAAACGAAGGATCTTTTTCGCTTCCCCCATGAGGCAGGAGGGCTCAACGGTTGAAAAGTGAATTTGTATCATCGACGTAATGGGGTCGAATCTGTCTGAGCGCTTAATCTTCCATCGTTAATCAAGTGCAGCTGATTTTTGATGAATTTTCCTTCAAACTTTCTGATCCTACCATTGCCATTGACGCACGAACGAGGCTTTTTTTTTGCGAACAGCATTTTTAGGCAATATTAGAATCTCTGAACACGCAAGTGGTTTCCAAAGGTGTAGAGAACACTTCTGGAAATCGCACAAAAAAAAACGACCAACACAGGATCCGAACCTTCAGCCCTGCAGACACGAGAATGAGAACTATCCTTCCTTTGTTAGTTAAAGAAACTCTTTTCAACCATCTAAGAAAAAGCAGCGATCGCCATTCTGAAATCAAAGACAATAACTATTGGGGTTTTCAAAAAAGTCTGTCGTTTTCTGGCACTTCACATTCGAATGCTTTATTTTCTTCCAATTCGAAGCAAGCTGCCACCGCTATGAATATCGTTTTGGAGACCTTTATTGCTCTGTATGCCTGACACTTTATTACAAATTATGTTCTTATACCTTTATTGAAGACTTGGACAAGGGATAAGCAAGAGCACGTTTGCATGACTTTCTTTTTTAGCTCAAAATAGGCCTCAAAAAGGGGATGTGGGTGAGTGTAAGAAAGCTCGTCAACACTTGCTTAAGGATGAAGGAGCACCACTGGAACCTCTGCCCGACATCGAAGGTGCTCAAAGCACTCATAAGAAGGAAGTGTAGGAGGACAGCTGGTAAGGCCTGCTCGATGCTTACGGCAGCGAAGTGCTGCCCCTGAACGAGAATCACGAAAAGGCAGCTTCACTCTGCTAAGGCTGAGATGGGCCTGCGGCTGGACGCGGCTGGACAAGGTTAGAAACGAGGACGTCAGAGCGGTCATGCAGACTGCCCCTGTCCAGCTGAAGGTACGAGAACAGCGTCTGCGATGGTATGGGCATGTGCTAAGGAGGCCACAGGACCATCCGATAAGAACAGCGATGGAAGTGCAAGGCAAGCGACCGCGAGGAGCCCCGAAGAAAAGGTGGAAAGACGTAATCAAGAAGGACCTAGGTGAGGTCGCGGCCACGATGGAAGATGCCCTGGACAGAGCAAAGTGGCGACGGCTGACAAAAACAGCGGACCCTGCGACTGCGCGGGACTAACGCTAGGGAGAAGAAGAAGAAGCTCAATATAGGCTTGAAAAGAAGCAAGCAGCTCAAGATATTAAAGAAGATGCCCTTGGCTTAGGTTCACAGTAAATTTGCTCTGAAACAGTTTTTTAAAAAGTTTGTGTAAAAAAAGCGAGTGCCTCAAAGGTGGTGAAGGTGGTGGTCAGATATCGGACACCGCCAGCGATTACCCAAAAATTATGATTAAAGTACTCATGCACAGGACCATTGGAATGTTCCACCCAAATTTACATTACCGATTTGAGGCCCCAGTTATACTGGGGTAGCTGGGAGGTCCAAAAACTCGGTAAGGGCCTGCCGTGATAAATCATCAACTTGAGGGGTAGACCGTCATTTTCTAGCATGTGCTCGCTTCCCCAGTTTATTGCCTGCAACTACGAAGTTGGATCAAGAGGATCCAACCGACGATCAAGTTCAAGAGCATCCGCAAAAATGAAAATGCGCTGGAGGAAGGCTTTACCCAAAAAAAGCCAACTTTCACGAGCTCAACGGGGCACTAGCTTCCCAGTACCAAGTGGTACTGTTACGGTGGGAAGACACTCTTAACAGTATGTCAGAATACACCGAAAACTCTAACATATGTGGCCAGTATTGCTCACAGTGAGGAGACCGACACATCTCTGAAGGTTCTTGACGCACATCGCTTAAAGCACAACTGCAAAGTTAAAAGGCAAAAGTCGGGCTCAATAAGGGGGTATTATGGCGATTGAAACTGAGTATAGAGATGCGAAGTGGAACGACAGTGGAGAAAAAACTGAGAAAAACCGTCGACAAGGCCGTTAACAAAACCCTCTCTTCTCCCACTAGCAATGAAGGAGGCTGGCTTGGGGAAGAGGCACGTACAAGCAAGTTTTCTGAAGATATCAGTCGTTCTATCGGTTGATACGGCTATCAACCTAGCTGATTTCACACGTTATGCCACATCCCGAGGTGGGCGGTCGTAGCGGGGCTAGGCGGCGATAGCGCATAGTACGTGCCCTGAGGCCTTATTACCGCGTCGTTTGAGATTTTGAGCATGGGAACATCTCTATGGGTGCGTAACCAATTACAGGAATGACCGAAAGGGTTGGTTAGGTTCACTAAGCCCGACCTTTGCCTTTAAACCAGCAGGGCTACGGAATGATACTGCGATTATCTGGATTATTGGAGGGCACCTTCCCTATCAAATGTCACTTTTTCGTGGACTCTGACAGTTCTTTTAAGAGAAATGCTTCGTAAACCCAACTTGATGCTGAAACGACGTTCGCCAGAGTTCACAACATCGAGCTCCAGCATTCTTGAACAGGGTATGGAGTAAACCATGCTACTTTTTAGGGCGAAGGCGACATGCTAAGTTTGCTAATCGATCTCTTCAATTCCTATTCCCTACTATATCAAACGCATGACTGTCTGTTTGTGTGTTTGTGTGTCACGAAAGTCATAGCGCGCTTCTTTGAAGTAATGAAGCGCTGCATGAGCATGATGTCAGATGCGGGACGGGGACATATTTGGTGGGGACCGATAACAGCTGATAGGGGCTGGTGACTATCAACGACATGATTTGCAGCATGGTCGATCTGCTTCAGTTTAGCAGAGGTTTCCCAATCCTTGCGAATTTTTCGGTCCGGTTCATACCTCGTTTTCGTTTTCCTCATAAACATGCTGATAAAAAGTAGTAGAATGAAATATAAATTTCTTCTGATCAGAAACGTTTTCACTGGAACAACCATTTCAAAAATACCTATGATGTTTACTACAGCGCTAGCAAGGGAAATTTGCTTTTTTAACTGCCATTACACTTTCTTGTGATCGTAATTTCAATAAAAATATATCCCCGGCTAAGTTCCGCGTTAAACGTCTCCAAACTTCCCCTGTGCCATTTGTATTGCATTTTATCATTCAAAATTCACGGATATGAGGTGAGTTGGCGGCGCCGCAAAACGCATCTGCCCCCCGCGGCCAGAAAAACTCAAAACGCGCGCTGTCGTCAATGTGTTAAAAATCGTTCTATAAAAAAGGAACGTTATCGGTGGAGCTTCTCGTACACAATCACGTCGAAAAATTTTCACACTCACCTAGTTACTGTTCGTCCTTTCCACCGGCTGCCATAGCTGAAGTTGCAACCATATACAGAAGTCCCATGAGAACAGTAAGAATCATGAGGTTCACTATGAGGATAATGGTGTTTTTGTCGAAATGCTGCTCCGCGGCTTCAACGATCGACTGCTTTCGGGAGCTGCTGGGCGGCATTGTTCTGCAATTAAATCTAATTAACTAATCAAAACTATTTACTAAATTAAGTTCACAAGAGCACACAATTTTCTTCAAACGGCGAGGAAATTTTCCAAAAAATTCAAAGTCGGGAGGTGAACGTGCTGCGGTTCTTAAACACATGTTTTCAAAGTCAATGACTGCTCTGATGATATAGGTTTTGGCTGGAAAAACGAGTCAGACCCTTATGAAATGCCAGATGTTGTAAGGAGAAACCACAAAATGTTCCCTGGAAATTCTAGGAAAGCCTACTGGTCTGTTGGGAAACTGACATTGAACACTGACCAGGGAAAGGCATTCAACTTCCCATGGAACTTTGAATTGAGACCCAGATATATCGATAGAGCTTCAAACGCTGATTACAAATATGGAAACTAAAACTGCAAAATGAACCTGCCAAGGAAGTTGTGAGCAGTCAAAGTTGGCTGAAAGTAAAGCATTACATATGAGCCGTGCTAGCTTCGCTTTCAGAGTCGCCGTGGAGTAGTGGTAGGTGCTCTCGCTCTCCAGTCTGGAAGGTCGGTGCGTTCTCTTCCCGTGAGTACAGCTTTTTCGAGAGCACCTGGCTTACTTCATGGTGACTTTGAGTGCCCGGATTGCACCAAGGTTCATATGGAACGCTTCATTTCCAATCAACTTTGATTGCTCACAACTTATTTGGAAGTCCATTTTGCAGTTTTAGTTTTTATATTTGTAGTCAATGTTCAAAGCCCTACGGCATATATAGGGGGGCAAAAAAAAAGAGTCACTTTGCCCATGGCGCATATCATCAAACTTTTCGTCGCAAAGGATGCCGCTGTTATTGGGAGTTATACGGCGAATTATTCCTTAGATGTCCCCCATAAGCAGAATCAGGCCCACCTTCGCTGCTTCACCGTCTCCAGAATATGACGTCATCTGTCATCACCGTCGAGCTCAAGGAGGCCTACCATAATCGCTCCATTCTGAAGCTGCTACATAATTTCTTCAATCGGATAACTGGTGAATGGCTTCTTAGGACACTAGCTCTGACTATGCAAAATGGCTTTTGACCAGCGTTTCAGAGACGTCGTAATCGTCTATGGTTTCTCGACGACCCGTTGAGCTCGTACCGCGAACCATGTTTCCGTGGGAAAATCTTCTGGTGTCGTCGGTTTAGAAGGCCACTATGCAATGTTTTTGATAGAATAGAATGTGCTCTTCAATATGCAATTGAGCTCATTCGGTTTGGTTTTGGCAAAGTGTAATTAATTCTGTTTTGAATGTGAGTAGGAGTGACTCTTTTTTTTTGGTATATGGGACTTGATTAAATATCTATGGGATGCTGGATGCCTTTCCTGGTGATTAAGAACGATAAATTCTCTACTGAAAAATAAGTAAAAGTTCCCGCTTGTATTTATTATCGAATTGTTGAAATACGGAAGAAGTGGGAGCAAGGCAGAGAAGAGAGCCTGAGCTTACTTGGGAAAAATAGAGGAAGCTTCAGTCGCGGAAGACGCTGTTCCAACACCTGTTTGGCCCCTCGTTTTTCCATTCCTTTTTACAACCACGAAAAAGCTCATTGAGTAACGCTCATAGAAAACGTCACATGCTAATGTTCCAGTAGACTAGGGCTACATAATAGCAACACCCAATAAAAATGACATCTCACCCATATAAGAATGATAATCAATTCAACGCCACTTAAGTAGCGCAGTAGATGGATCAAGAGCTAATCTGGATAGACTGGAAAAAGAGCTGTTAAAAGAAGCTCGAAATTATGCATGCTTATGCAAGCCGAAAACTGTGACCATTTCCTCAATAAATTTTACAATACTGCATGAGCGCTTCAGCTCTGTACAAGAATTGCGTCTGACACATTCTTCCACGTCTTTGAAATTAGTCGAGGCAACTTGTAAGCTAGCCTATGCTAGATCGAACTTTTGGATGTCGCGTGTAAGTAGCGGTAGTGCTTCGCTCTCTAGTTGGACGTCGGTAGTTTCCCTCGCAGTTGAGTAAGCTTTTTCGAGAGCACTGCCTTACTTCATGGTGACTTTGAGTGCCCGGATTGCACCAAGGTTCATATGGAACGCTTCATTTCCAATCAACTTTGATTGCTCACAACTTATTTGGAAGTCCATTTTGCAGTATTAGTTTTTATATTTGTAGTCAATGTTCAAAGCCTACGGCATATATACAGGGGGGGGCCAAAAAAAAAAGAGTCACTTTGCCTATGGCGCATATCATCAAACTTTTCGTCGCAAAGGATGCCGCTGTTATTGGGAGTTATACGGCAAATTATTCCTTAGATGTCCCCCCATAAGCAGAATCAGGCCCACCTTCGCTGCGTTCACCGTCTCCAGAATATGACGTCATCTGTCATCACCGTCGAGCTTAAGGAGGCCTACAATAATCGCTCCATTCTGAAGCTGCTACATAAATTCTTCAATCGGATAACTGGTGAATGACTTCTTAGAGACACTAGCTCTGACTATGCAAAATGGCTTTTGACCAGCGTTTCAGAGACGTCGTAATCATCTATGGTTTCTCGACGACCCCGTTGAGCTCGTACCGCGAACCATGTTTCCGTGGGAAAATCTTCTGGTGTCGTCGGTTTAGAAGGCCACTATGCAATGTTTTTGATAGAATAGAATGTGCTCTTCAATATGCAATTGAGCTCATTCGGTTTGGTTTTGGCAAAGTGTAATTAATTCTGTTTTGAATGTGAGTAGGAGTGACTCTTTTTTTTGGTATATGGGACTTGATTCAAATATCTATGGGATGCTGATCTTTCCTGGTGATTAAGAAACGATAAATTCTCTACTGAAAAATAAGTAAAAGTTCCCGCTTGTATTTATTATCGAATTGTTGAAATACGGAAGAAGTGGGAGCAAGGCAGAGAAGAGAGCCTGAGCTTACTTGGGAAAAATAATAGGAAGCTTCAGTCGCGGAAGACGCTGTTCCAACACCTGTTTGGCCCCTCGTTTTTCCATTCCTTTTTACAACCACGAAAAAGCTCATTGAGTAACGCTCATAGAAAACGTCACATGCTAATGTTCCAGTAGACTAGGCTACATAATAGCAACACCCAATAAAAATGATATCTCACCCATATAAGAATGATAATCAATTCAACGCCACTTAAGTAGCGCAGTAGATAGATCAGGAGTTATCTGGATAGACTGGAAAAAGAGCAGTTAAGAGAAGCAAATTCATGCATGCTTATTCAACCGGTTGGCCGAAATATTGTGACGCATTTTCCTCAATAAATTTTACAGTACTGTATGAGCTCAGGTCTGTACATCGTCTGACGAATACTTCCACGTCTTTGAAAGATGACGAAGGTAGGCTTGAAGCTGGAAAATGATTCGGAGCAAAAGATGGTGAAAGAAGAGCGCCTGGGCCTGATGGGTGTTCTCGAACCTCGAAGCACACCCCTGCATCCAATCTAGTATGAGTAAACGAAGTGATAAACAATCATCGTTGCCAAAAAAACTTCCTCCCTTGCCCGCAGCAGTTCCTACCCTCGGGGAGGCTCGTTCCAATACCACAGAATTACAAAGTCGTTTGATCAATAGGTTAAAAAGTGAGCATGAAACCTTCGGCTAAAGAATGCATTGATGAAATCCGCTTAACCATGGGATTTCCGAATCAAGAAAAGAAGAGATCGATAAAGGCATTGGAAACGATACGTCGATCTTGACTCATAATCGTTATCGAGGGCTGTCGAGCAGGCTTTGCGGAAGCAGAGCTGGCACGAAGACAGCTGCTTGCTCTCCACCCTTCTCAATCCACGAGTCATGCCGTGAGATCCCCTCATGTTTCTTTGCCGAAAGAAAGAACTCGGGCACATTTGCTTGTCCGTTTGTCTCGTCGACAAACCCCATCAGAGAGCGACTGGTCCCAGGGCTCAAACTTCTAGAAGAAAGTGAATTTTTAGTGGTGAACTGAGAAAAGAACGTCATAATAAATAGGATAGGCAAAGCTGCAACTGTAGAATGTGGGCAGCAGTAGGAGAATTTCTTTTCGTTAATCAGAAGCTTTCTTCACAAGACTGGTAGGATTTCCATTAAGCAAGAATTTTTTTATCCCAATCGCTCGACCTAAACCAAGAAATGGGACCTGAATGGGTTCCAATGCCAACGTACCCCTCCAACCGCACATTCTCTCAAGCACGAACGAATCTCATCATTCCTGTCCTTCTGAATCGACACACCTCTTTAGACCAGCCACAAATGTATCACTCCCAGCGAGCACTATTTGCAAACCGTCACATTTTTATAATAGTGAGGATAAGAGGGGTGCCTCAAGTTTGCATAGTATCCCTCATCATCACATCGCATGGCGCTGAGAGGTATCACAGATTGAGTCCATGAACTTCGCCAACAATAAACCTATCCAAGCGTTTTCGTCGCTCTCTTCCGGTCCTTCGGTATTTCGGGAACGCGTTTAGGTGCACCATATGTGGGTTCTCAGCTCGTCTGGTTTGTTCTACCCTTGCTGCGTGCGCCTTCTTGCAAATAAGTGTTTAATGCACAATCGATCATGATTGCACATCGTCTGTTCACTTCGTTTCACGACATACTGCTCTGAACTCATTTCACCTCTTTCTTCGTCGTCCCCTTATTTTACAGCAGTGTTCAAGAGAAAAACTAATAAGTTACCTCGTTAGGCGACATGTGCACCATTGCGCTCACTCTCTGCAGTGACACGGACCTATGACTTTTTCTGTTTGAAAATCCTTACAAGGGTAAGCAAAATCATCACTTCCAACAGCGACACTCATAAGGCATTACTTCGAAGGTGCTGCCAAGCATAGGTAGCGAATCAATACCCAGATTTCAGCTGAAAGCTGCATGTGGACTTTAAAATAAAAATCGATCCAACAAGCAGCCACCGTTTTCGTTTTTTGATGCTGTTACAACGGATATGGGTCTGGCCTGGATTGGACCAAATTCCTTCTCGTTGCCCTCTTCATTAGATTTCGAGCTGTTGAGTCACTACTCCCTTACAATCACCTATGTTATATCCGTGAAGCCAGAATCAAAACAGAATGTCGCCTGAGATGAAATCCGTTAAAGGACGAATTCACGATCAGAGGGAAAATCGAATTAGGAAGAATTCACCTGGTTGAGGGACCCGCGGAGCTCCTAAGTGTGCGAACTGAAGCACAATTTGCACAGGAGGAGTTGACCTCGTTGACCTATTAAGGTTTAATCCCGCCGCGGCTGGTCAGTGCACGCCCACCGATCATCTGATCACTCGCCGCAGGTCTATACGTGGTGAGTGATTAGATAGGTGAGAGAGCGTAGCGTTGAAGAGGGCACAGCGATGAGAGTCGCATCAATGCTCAAATCAACGGGCAAGGAAGGGGTCCCATTTCTCGGGTTCTGGGCCGTTTCTCATGGTTTTTCCTTCTTTAGTGTACCACTCACCATCGCTAACTTAATTTGAAATGGGTTGCCTTTCCAGCGTGAATTCGTCCTTTAAGCCCTCCCAAAAAAGTTCCACGATTTCGAATTTCAAGAAAGTGCATGGTGCATTCGGGAGCTGTCCTTTGGAAATCAAACATTTGCTTTCCAAGGAAATGGCGTGTTCCCCAAGAGGCCCGTCGCGCGGCGAAGGAAGAGACGCAGACGCGGCAAAGGACGAGTCGCAGCGCGTGTGCGATATGAGACGTAGTATGGTACACTCTATTTAACCTGACGCCTAACCGCTACAGTATGCGCTGCGACTCGTCCTTTGCCGCGTCTGCGTCTCTTCCTTCGCCGCGCGATGGGCCTCTTGGGGGACACCCGAGGGGGCGCAGCCCTCTATTCAAAAATTTTGCTTTTTTTTATCAAAGCGCGCACTTAAAACTAGATTCTATAAAACATCTACAATGTTTTAGAATTAGTGACTATGCTAGAAGAAGATTTGAGCCATTCAATACTGAACAAAAAAAAAGAAGAAAGTCAACAAAGATGTAGATTGCATACTCCTTGATTGCTCTGAAGTTTTTGACAGAATTCCGACTGGAGATAGCAGTTGAAATAAAATTAATTAATCCGTCACCTAGGAAGCGGAAATAGTCCAACTATCAAAAACGGTTTAGCACTTCAGACGCCCTCGAGGGTGAGAAAAAGGGGCCTGAATCGTCTTTATCCAAAAGCCCGTCCCCTCCGAGAGCTCACTGTTTGCTGATAAAAGTAATAAAGATGAAAGAGCTTCATCCTAATAAGGCAAAACTTCAACTTCCATCGGATTAAGGTCATGCATCCGACGAGCATCATTAATCACACTTGGGCGCTATCCCAAGATACTGGAGCATTGTCGCAGTAATGCAGTTGAAACGCGTAAAACACCCCTTTTTTGAAACTGGGCTGAGCTTCAGGCGTTGGAGGATAGGCTCGAGGGTGCAAAAACAATTTTCATTTACCGCGAAGTTCCTGACCACTCCTAGGCTTAGTCCTAGAAGATGCCCCTGTATCTTGTGATTGCGCCTCGCAGTTGCTTTCAAATGCGTATTTGTCCTATACTTTGCTTTTGTCAGCTGGATCAAACCCCTCCCCTCACGGCTCCCCCTCTCCGGCATCGCCGGCCCCGCACCGCCCTCGGCGTACGTGTTTTCTTCAGCGAAGGAGTTTCGGTTATTCGTGTGTGCACAACATGCGCCTGCTCACGGTGGGGTGTCTCGTGTGAGGGATCCCGACGACAAGAAGCCTTAGGGCCTGAACGAGACTACGGCCAAGCGTGAACAGCGACAGGAGGCTTTCGCCACCTGCGCTTTTTGTGTGATTATTTACGACACTTTCCAATCTATTGATAGGCTAAACATAGGCCCACTCCGCCTCCAAAATGAAACGTGCGAGGATCATCTGATCGTTCTTTCAGACCATATTTCAATTCAAGCTAATCTCAATGCTTTTGACAAGCCCTCGAACGTGTGACGCTCCACGAACAAATCAATAAACATGTAACTCGATGGTTTTTTCGCTTCCGCATACGGCAGAGTTAATAAGCCGCCCGCAAGAGCGTGATTCTCCAACGCGTATTGCAAAAGCTGAATTGATCATCGACGCTAACTCTGTCGAATCTGTCTGTAGTTCAGCCTCCTAAATCTCTCCCCCATCGTTAAATCACGGTTGGCACGTTCCTTTTGATGAAATTTATCTTTCAAAAACTTTCTGACCTACTACCATAATCTCCATGAGTGCGCCACGAACGAGCGGCTTTTTTTCGCGAACAGCACTTTTTAGGCATATATGAAGCCTGCTGCAACAGCAGAAAGCGTTGGTTCCCGAACCCCAGGGCCCCACTTGCGAGCCGAACACTTCTGGAAATCGCACAAAAAAACGACCAAACAGGGCATCCTGTAACCTTCACGACCCTGCAGACATTAGAGACACCGACAAACTATCTCCTCCTGCCTGCTACTGTGAGAAACCCTCGTTTATCACACATTGTATCAGAAGCACCGATCGCCATTTTGAAATCAAAGCACCAAAGAAATCATATTAGAGCGCTTTCTAATACAGTTCTGTCCGTTTTTTTGGCACTTCACATTCAAATCGCCCTTCTATTTCTCTCCCAATTCGAACCAAGCTGCCACCACCGCAAAGCACAACTCACTCGTTTGATTGCAGACTACTGACTATTGCTTCTGTCTGTCTGAACCACTCTCTTATCTAAATAACTCATGTTCTCATACTATCCTTGTATCTTGTTTTTGATGGTTAACTGCTGTTTTTGGCCGCAGTTCGCCTTACGAATGTTTCACAACCCAGCATTATTGTGAAACATATGTTCTTATAATTTTTTTTGAAGACTCGGACAAGGGATAATCAATGAGCAAGTTTGCATGATTTTCTTTTTTAGCTCAAAATAGGCCTCGAAGCCGACGGTAGTGTGGATGAGGTAAAAGCTCGGGTCAACGCTGCATGGATGAAATGGAGGGAGTCCACTGGAATCCTCTGCGATCGAAGGTGCTCAGAAGGGAAGGTGTACCGGACAG